TTCTCGATCCAAAGTAGGTTAATATTTTCGAGATTCAAGGCTTTTCAGGTTTTCAGTATTCTTATTAAGGTCCGTCCTTATAACCGAATTATGAAAATCATACTATACTCCAGAGATTCGTAATTTGTTCTATAAACTTTTATATCTTATTATGAAATTGCTAGATTAAGAAAGATAAGAGACACCGCGACTGAAATTGTCAAGCTTTAGTTCTAAATTTCGTAATTTGAAATCATTATCGGTCTGTTAATTGGACGGAAACTCTTTTGCAGCTTGCAGTTCTACCTAAGCTTCAACATTTTTAAAGTAAGAGGTCGGTCTAAAATAAAATTATTTATATTATATAAAAAACGAACACCATATCTTTTTAAATTCTCAATGAATTGGGAAAAAATTTCCGATTATAAATTTACCATACTATTGCCAATAATATTTTATTTAATCTATTAATACTTTCCCTTAACCGCATTTTTTATATTCATTTTTAATTCTATTTTAAATAATGTTTTATAAACCTCTTCATAATTATCTGATTATCGTTATAAAATAAATACCTGCAACAAATTCATGCGAAAAGTAAATACAAAGGTTTGGGCAAATCTGTTATTAAAAATTTTCTATATTAAATGTTATTACCAGTTTCATCCGCTTTCAAACTTTCCAAATTATCGAATGACTCTTCAGTACTCTAAATGCTCAAAAATTAAGTCGTGACCGATTTCGGTTCTCAAAAATTTATTGACAACCCGTTTCGCCCAATTGATTATTATACGTTAATAATACATTAGTCCGATTAAGTATGGTTGGGACTTGAAATTAGCCCGCTGGATTTAAAAGGTATTTTGATACTTGCTAATCAGTTTGTATCGTTCCACAAAATAAAAATAGAAAAAAGTATGCGGATCATGTTCTATTTAGAATAACGCTGCCGTTTACAAACTTTTTTAATTTTCTAATTATGACTTCTGTTCGTAAAGATATTAAAATATGTTCTCGATAAAGATAAAGAGCATGAATTTCATCAACAAGCGATAGATGATAAATCTCTTACAGAAAACGAAGTCGATAAATCATTCGCAATGGGAATGGCGCCGCCTAATGTTTGTGAAAGTTGTCAAAATTTATATACTTCATCAGATTGCAATCATTGTATTCGAAATTATTTAATAGCAAATTTTTCAAATTGGACGTCCGGAAATGATGAAATTGATGATTTAATACAGAGATGTCAAATGGAAACAAATCTGCCATATAATATAATTGAATGGATCCCACATAAAAATTTACAAAATATAAAATATTTAACCCAAGGTGGTTGTTCTGAAATATACACGGCAGATTGGATTGGTGGATGGTTTACTGAATGGGACTCTGATACTCAGCAATTAAAGAGAGAATGGACAGCAAAAAAAATAGTTCTTAAAAGATTAAGAAATGTTGAAAGTTCTAATAGAAGATGGTTTGAAGAGGTAAATATACAGTATTTGTCAAAAGAGTCATGTAAAATTATTAAGAAACCTAATATATTAATTCGGTTTATAGGCACAATCTCATGTATCATTGAACAATGAATTAGTATATTTTGTTCATTGTTATGGTTTTACTCAAGATTCGGATCCGTTAAATAAAGATTATTTCCTTGTATTGGAATTATTGGATATGGATTTAAGAAAATATTTACAACAAAATCATAAGCAACTTGCATGGAAAGAAAAAATGTATATTGCTTATCAAATAATTTATCTTTCAATTTATTGGCTTCATAAAGCAAGTGCAATTCATAGGGACTTGCATTCAGGAAATATATTAATAAAGTCATTTAATTCACGTGATTTTATTATGTGCCAAATTAGTGATTTTGGATTTTGTGGGCCCATTGATAAGCCATTAGGAAGTGTATATGGAAATCTTCCTTACATAGCACCTGAAGTTATTTCTGGAAAAGAATGTACCTTTGCATCAGATATTTATAGTATTGGTATGCTTATGTGGGAGATTTCATCTGGACAACCACCTTTTGCTGATTTTGATCATGATTATAATCTTGCAATGAAGATAATTAATGGAATGAGACCAAAAATATTACCGGGAACTCCATTAGGATATAGAAAATTCATGGAAAAATGCTGGGACGCTGATCCATTAAAAAGACCTAATATTGATTTTAAGGAAATTATTATTTTTCAAGATGAAAAAGATACTATATGTAATGATGATAATGAAAATTTTAATACAAGCTCTATTTCAATTAGTTCATTATCTAGAAAGTTTAGTAAGGTTCATATGTTTGAAGGGTTACCTGAACCAAGAAATGCTACTAAAGGTATCTGTTAAGTTTTATTTATTGTATTTATAATTGGAATTATATAAATTTATATATTTTTATTTTATTTTACTTTTAACTAATAGAAGAACATGAAGGTAAATATTAAAAAGTTTATTATACCAAAGAATCGAACATACTAATATTCAATATTTTTATTTAAACAAAAGCTTATGATAGTAAGCAAAGCGGTTTTGAGATTCCGGATAGTAAGTATTATTAAATATCAATTTAATAATTTATAATTTTATTAATTAATTATTATTAATTATTAAAACGAAAGTTATATGCAAAGTTCAAACTGAACGGAATAATTCTACAGAACAAATTAGTAAGATTGTTTATAGTTTCTAATATCATTTAATAATTTAAGAATTTACACAATTAATCTTACAGATGAAAATAGTGAGGACAAAGGCAAATCTAAAAAAGTTAATGATGGTAATAATTTAATTTACGAAAATATTAAATTTACTCATTCGCCATTCAATAATTTTTGTTTATTTTGTTAGAAAATACTAAAAAAGTTGATCTTAATAATAATTATGGTAAGTTATTAAAGTGTGTTTAAATTCTTTAATTTTATAACTACTAGACATTTATTTCAATTAAAATATTACTTAGTAATATTCAAAAAATATTGCATTGAAAGTGATGGTAAGATATATAATTAATTATAAACAATTTATTTTTATTATTTAAATATGATCTAATAATTATCAAACTATAGATGATGAAATATATAATAATCCAAACCTTCATTCGGAAGATCAAGATGAACTAGAAATCACTTAAATGAGCTTTGATCATTCATATCATTTGTTAAGTAAATAATTGAATGAATATTTGGTTTGGTCAAATTTAGTTGAGATAATTTAATAATGCTTCGAGTATGACACTATAATTATCTTTATTAAATAATATCACCAAGATTAAGAGAGTAGCATTTGTAAATTAAATAACTTGTTTCGTTTATATATATATATATGTGTTCAAAGATTCAAACATTTTTTTCTTTAAAAAAAAATCACATGGTTATTTAATTAATAAACGAATTGTTCAATTTTTTATTAAACGCAAATATTAATAATGCTGCATAACTTATATTTAATAAACATATGTTTTGTGATCGAGTCAGAAGCATATTCAAACCTGATAAAATTAAAGGACCACTGTTCGAATCGGATTCGACTCGACCCGATTCTTCGAATTTTCAAGGGTAATATTAATGCCGAAAATACAACTATTAAAAAATAAAAAAATTTCATTTAACTATTTAATATTTAATCCATAACGAAGCTTTAACCGTGGACCAAAGTATAATTTTAATACTTAAAAAACAAGTTTAACATGTCACCAGATCATCCGGGTCGAGTAAAACAATGACACTGACCCGACGGGTTTTATTAAATTAGGATTCGTGCAATAAAAATGATAACCCGACTCGAATTAACTTTCGAATGACCCGGGTCGATTCGATCACTATTGTTAATTAAAATTACATATAGCAAATTGAGAATTATTTCTTTCGAAAAATTGAAGTTTGCTAAAAATTCTTTAACGACATCTCTTATCACGACAAAATACTATTATTTACATATAGGCACGGATTAAATGATTCAATGTCTCGTAAATAGCAAAAGATCCTAAGAAAAATTTTCAATTAATATTTTAAAAAAAAAATTTTTTTTTTTATGCAACAAGGCCGAATAAAACTTTAATAATTATTTCCTCGCAAAAAGTATTGTTAAAAATATTTATTTGATAAAACATCTATAAAACGATCTATAAACGAAAATATTAAAACTAATAATGAAATTACATTCGAATTTAGAAAAGATTTCGATCGTTTCGATCGTTTTTTGGTGAGGGCTAATTGACCATAAAAATAAATAAAAAATATATATTATTTTCCTCAATAATTTAATTTAGGCTGGGCAAAAGTATATTTTTAGATTCTCGTGACCCGGCCGTGTCAGTTTTACAAAAATTCATGATTTTTTTTTATAGTAAAATTTATATCACGTGACCCACATAATAAACTTTATTATAAAAAATTCGAAAAATGTGAATTTGTGTCCTTTCGTTACTTGAAATTTAACGCTTCTTCTTATTTAAACCTGTTGTATTACATTCGTAGCAATAATAGTAAAATACTTCATAACACTAATTTTATTAGATTCATCACATTCATCGGTACTTTTTCCAAATATCTTCAAATAAACCACTTGAATAATAAGAAACTTCCATGGAATTGCTACATGTTAACAACTTATAAATTTTCAAAAATTCTCACTACATCATCACTTTTGCTATTATAATCATTTAACATCTTCCATTTTTGTGCTTGAGTTTGCTAAAGCTTCAAAAGAATCACCGCATATATAAAACAATACATATAAAAATTTACATATATAAAAAAAGGGTGACCGTGTTCAATTTTAAAATTTTATGTTTCGAGTATCTAATTTCCTTTGCCTGGCCTTAATTTAAGAATAATTATTAATTAATTAAGATCTCGTCTAGTTTTAATATTTTTTTTTTAAAAAAAAAAAAATAAAAATAAAAATAAAATGCGGACGATAACCATTTTTTATATTAAAAACTAACTTAAATATATTAATTTATACTTTATTTTTTTTGACACTCTTTATTAATTTCAAATAAATTATCCAATTTACTTTATAAAAATACTTAAAAAGTTCAAAATGAAGTTTGTAAACTTTAAACTACAATTTCTAATAAAGGTTCTAAGAAGACCAACAGGAGTGGACATTCGCAATGCCGCAGATCTAGATTTTAACACATCGACGGTTGATCTTTTTCGCATTTCATTTTCATATTCTTGAATGCAGGAAATAGGATCTTCTGATGAATAATTAAATAATGCTTGGGAGAGAAGTTCGGCATCTTGGAAAGCATTATTTGTTCCCAATCCAAATACAGGATTCATAGCATGAACAGCATCTCCTAATAATGTTACTCGACTACTTGTCCAAGGTTGAATAGATGATGGATTAATATCTTGATAAGGTCTTCGTAGAGTCGGATTATAAGTTTTAAATTGAAATTTTTCTAGATCATTTGGAGCTGATTTAGGAACCAAGTCCCATAATTCTAATATAATATCATCAAATTCGCATCCGGATCCAAAGTTTCGAATCATCTGCTTGACATGTTCAATGACTGATGCAGAATCATTATCATCAACTTTGATTTTATCGGATTCAAC